ATCACTTTTCTCTAATCCAAATACATGCATTAAAACAAGACAACTCGGTGCACAAAGTATCACGTGTTTACACAGGGTCTGGAAAAGAGCCGTACCCTAAAGGGTGTGATATAAACAGCCTACCCTAATGCAAGCATTAGTGGTTGCTTTCACGGCTCGAACACGTGATCTATAGGTTACACATAGGCAACTTTAGTATAATTCAACAGTTATAGTAGGTTGTTAGCTTTATTTTTTCGATAACCAGTTTCACTTATTATAGAATAGTTACATGTAATTATCTTTCAACCTGATAGTGTGAAATTAGTGCATAATAGCTAACCCTTTTTAGGGAGGGAGGGGAAACTGCTATGAAATGTTTCAAGTTATTAGTTCCCTTTGTACTATTTTATATGATACTATTTCCTTATTAGTGAGTTAAAAAGAATGACATATTTTTTAATCTGAAATAATTTAACTCAAATAAATTTTCTTTTCCATTCTTAATGTGAAGCTTTCATACAAAAATGTGGTATGTTCAATATCATATAAGCTTAAAAAATCTTATACCTACACACAAATGTTACGACATGTTTAAGACTACAACTTTTAGTTAAAGGTCTTCATTTCTTTCTTAAATTTCGTGTCCAATCAAAATACATCGTATAAATTGAAATGAAGATTACTATCTAAAGGGTTCTGTTTCTTTTCTGCAGACAAACAAGACCAAAGTTAACTTTGGCTTTGCTATTGGAAATCTTTGTACTTTCTCTTATGGGGTAAGCTCAATTGAACATCATATGATATCATCCTATTGAAATATAGTTCTGAGGAAAAGAAATTACTAACAGTTTGTTTTTCATTTCAGAGTGAGTTTGACGTTGAATATGTACTTTGTGAGCTTGAATTTCACTTCTCCAACTTTTGTATCTTCTATGGTCAACACTATTGCTGCACTAACCTTTGTATTAGCAGTAATACTCAGGTAATAAAATCTCAACAACTTCAAGAAAAGAATGCAGAAATTAACAGTTTATGAAACTAAAATCTAACATAGAATTTACTTAAACTCACAGAACTTAAACTCATCAATTAAAGGGATTTAAGTTATAAATACCTCCGTCTCAGAACCTTGTGGGGTTAGGAGTAAAGCATCCCGAGTAGACCAGTAGCGGAATCAGAATTTTCACTAAGGTGTGTCAAATTTTAAAGAAGTAAATACACGAAAAAGTCAGTGGAATAAAATATATAGCATATATACATAAAAGAACAATTTTTACTTACCTAAACAGTGTATTTTTTCAGTGAAGGGGTGTCAGCTGACACCCCTTGGAGCTTTATAGCTCCGCCACATCCGAGAGTGTAACAATCTTTACACCATCATGTGATTTGACATGCTATAACATGCCACTTAACATTTACTTAATTTAGTTTACTAATCAATGTTACGTGTAATTACCTATTCAATGACCTGGTAATATAAATATCCATTATACTGACAGTACATAAAACTTAAAACTCTAATTAATTTTCTTTTAATTGTACTAGGTTGGAAGTTGTAAATGTTGGAGATCCTAGGGGAATAGCAAAAATCTTAGGAACACTGGTTTCATTGGCTGGTGTAATGACAATGACATTGTACAAAGGAGCTTGTCTGAAAAACCTATGGCAACCTCTCATCTATATTCAAAGAGGTGGCAGTTTTGTGCATGAAAATTGGTTGAAAGGCTCCATTCTGACTGTTGCTAGCTGCATTACATGGTCCATATGGTACATCATGCAGGTCCTTCTATGAAATTCTTGTCTATTAATTCTCGTTCGTCGAAAAATTATACCGTGCAAATAGGGTAAAATGATACTTTTTACCCTATCTATTTCTAGACTAGTTTTGCACTGTAAATTGTCGTATGATGATACATGAGCAGGGGCGGAGTTAGCAAGAGGGAAAGTGTTTAATTTAGTCTCATTTGTCGAAAAGTTATACTGTGCAAACTTTTCGATTACATATACTGTTGAATCTCCTTGAAAAAAATTTAGTGTAAAAGGTAAAGGGGTTCAAAGGTTGTTTTAATTCATAGTTCAAATCTCGACTATGACATATTAGTATATTTTGAATCCCCTTATATGAACTCCTGGCTCCGCTACTGTATATGGGCTTCACGACACCCCATTTTGCATGTGTTTAGCAGTACGGAGACGCTTGGATCTTCATTATGTGTTTTTTCTATTTTTGTTGATTTATGCTCGGGTTAAAGGTTCACTTAGCGAGTGTTAGGCTATTATCTAAGGTGGATCTAAGATTTAAGCTTTATGGTTAAATATTTAAGGTTTTTAGCATTGAATCAATTGTATTTTTATAAGTATGAGTTCAAGTATACTATTTGTTTGCAAATTTAATGGATTTATACACATAAAGTATGTTTACCATTAAAAGTACTGAGTTCAGATGAACTGGTGCTGTTGCGCTGCATCCGCCTCTGTCTGTCGGATGCATGTCACAACGAATATCTGTCACGACCCTCCAGTTTTGGATCGTGACAAACTTTGTTACAGCTTTAGAGTGTAGTTCTTTTTTCTAACTAGTTTACCTTGAAAATCTTACAGGCTTACACACTAAAAAGATATCCAGCACAATTGTCACTTACTACATGGATGAGTTTTGTTGGAGCAGCACAATCAGCTTTTTACACTGTTATTGTACAACATAAAAGAGCTGCTTGGACCATTGGTTTCAACATTGATTTTTGGTCAACAATATATGGAGTAAGAAGAGTCCAATTATCTATCTAAGTCAAATTAAATTTGGCTGTGACAAACATTAATGTGTTGTTTTTAATTTAAAACAGGGTATAGTGATCTCTGGTTTAGTGGTGTTTATTCAACTTTGGTGCACTGAGCAAAAGGGACCTGTTTTTGTAACTATGTTCAATCCACTATCAACTATATTAGTGGCAATTCTAGCATACTTTGTCTTTGGGGAAAAGCTATATATGGGCAGGTAAACAACTCTTTCTTGTTTTCTCTTTTCTTTTTGTCAGTGTGAGGAGAATAGAGGTGGATTATAGAGCTTAGGGAAAAGCTCCAAATATATCTTAACGGGTTGCGCTCGTTATGGGACTTAACCCAACACCTTACAGCACGATCGAGCTGATGACAATCGTTTGCGGTTTGTCTTATATATAACCGCCATTTACCTTTCAGCCTATAGGTGCCCCCATCGTATATTTGGACCTTATAATTGTTTAGGGGTATAATTGAACCTTTTTTTAAAATTGTTCAGGGACATTACTGCTACATTCACTACTCTTTGTAACAATTAATACAGGCTTAATATATATATATATATATATATATATATATATTTTTTTTTTTTTTCTTGTTCTAAATATACACTTTTTTCTTGACATTTTTTCAGCATAATAGGAGCAGTAATAGTCATTGTTGGTCTTTACTTGCTCTTATGGGGAAAAGAAGATCCCAAATCAGAGAGAAATGATGAAGAAAAATGCAGCACAATCAAAAGAGAACAACATGAAGACCATTTGATACCAAAATTAGCATCAAATGCAAATGGTTTTAGAGCACAACCTTAGAAATCCATGCCATTCATTTGGACAGCAAACAAAACTTATACTAGCTAATTCCAAGAATATATACTAAAAACCAAAACAATAAATAAAGAAAAAATCAAGTATATTCAAGGAGAAATTTCAGGCCGGGAGTGCTTATCCCTTAATAGGCCTTATGCGGTATAAATCTGAATTAGTCGGACCAGTGATTATCGGATACCAAATGGTTAAAAAAAAGAGATTGAAATTGAGCTTGAATGCTCCTTTTCTTGAAAGGTTGAAAGGCTAAAGTGGCATATGCACTTTGTACAAGAGATTCTTCTATTAGTTTAGTGCTTCATTTTATTAGTATCCTTTGTCAAGAGAGATTAATCTAATTAGAAATAAATATGGATTCTAACAATCATCAAATTATACAAGAGATTGTCTTTGTTGTGGCATGGTACTGATCATTTTAAAGAGTCCAAAAGTTTTACAAGCTCAGACCAGAAGTAAACAAAGAGCGGTAAAAGAGAATAAAGTAGTTGCGCACATTCTTTTCTTTTATAGTTGGACTAAATGGAAAGAGACGCCGTGTAAGTCGAAGACTTTCACAAGTGTCGGCTCGCACGCTTTTGATAAGGGCTCGATCGTGAGAATCAATTCCAATTGAATCTATGGAAGTGAGAACCATCCAACTATGTAGAATCGATCCCAATCAAATCCATACGCCACTTTAGCTTTCAACTTTTCAAGAATTAATAAAACTGGTCATATATTTAGCTACAACTGCTGAGGAAAGTACATAAATAAGGACCAATTTATAGGAAAAATATACATGAAAGAGAAAAAGAGATTACCCCTCCCTATATTTTTCTATTTTCCACAACTATCTTCCAAAAAACAAATCCAAGAAACTTTACACCTATACAAACAAAAACTACCAAAATCTGAAAATAAAAGGCCCC